GAATAGAGCGGCGAGAGAACGCGATGCAGCGGCGGGGGTACGCGATGCAGCAGCACGATCTAGCACAGCAGCGACATGGGGACTCTTCCGAAGATAATCTAATCCAGTAATGCCGCTAGTGCGGTTTGCTGTAGCAGGCTGGGCGTGAGCCTCCCCGTCGTCATCGTCACTTCCTGTCGCAATCATCGTGCCCCCAACGCTAGGGGGATACGGACTGCGCAGAAACAGAGCTGCTAGGAGGAACTCACTACGGTAGCACGAGCAGTGTAAACAACTACAGAATCGACTTCAACCACGGCTGGAGAGGGAAGCTTGAGGAGGAAGGTCAGGACAGAGGCTGCTTGGTCGAGTTGCAGGACCACGGTCCATTGTTACCCAGCCAGCCAACCACATGCAACCGTGGTTTGCTGCCAAACACTTTGACAGCACCACACTGCTTGTACAGAAACGCTGTATATCAAGTGTAGCGCTGGATGGTATACTTAGCCGCTATTGGCTCATTCCATTTGTTATCTACAGCGCAGGCGGCAAACTCAGCGCGCTGTGACAGCTAAGGCAGCATAATACAGGGAAAATGTGTGCTGTCACGAAATTCTCGGCAGAATGGGTGAAAAATAGGGGGGTACCCCGGGGCGCGCATGTGCAGGCAAGATTCCATGTATCAGGGTCATCCCCGAAGGCATCCTGACTGCTCAGGGCTGGTACATGCACACCATACTGAGTTTTCAGGGTTGCACTATGAATCAAAAACTGAATTTATAGGGTGGAAATGGGCCTTAAACTGAATTTTCAGGACTGGCCCTAAACAAGCAGGATAAAACATCCTGATATCTGAGGGCCTGTGTGAGAGTACGACTCCGTTACACCACTTGGCCTTTTCCATATTTCCTCTTCCTTTCATTCCTCTTTTTATCTCATCGCCTTTTGCCTCATATTCCCCATTTTCCATTATCCTTTGGTTTCTTCCTTTATTATTATTATATCACCGACCAGGCATGGAATGTTCTAGACACGCTATCTAGCGTAATCCTGCCGTAATCTCTTAAAGCCAATAGCCTCGCGTGGCTATACGCAGGGTGATTCTATCTTCTAGAAGGGTCTATTCCTTTAGATAGGATAAACCTGGTTACCTGATGTACTCTGGAAGTATAAAAGCGCCTTGTACCGATCGATAGTGCAACCTTTCCTCGACACATTCGATCCTGTGACACTTGGTACTCAGAGCTTTTCTCACTCGGCCGCGCTCAGCTAAGCAGCAGCAGCGGGGATCCTGCCTCGAAAAACCGCCGGGGGCGACCAATTCGACGCCGATTCTGGTAAGCACCAGCTCCGCGATTTTCGAATTACCCCCTCCGTGCGTGTTTTGAACAGGATGGCAACCTTCGACAACGCCGAGGTTACCCAGCAGCTCTTCGCGCGCATCGCAGCCCTTCAGGAGGAAATGCGAGCGGATCGCGAAGCGTGGCGAAACCAGTTCGAGCGAGTAACTCGACTCGCCGGAGCGCAGCACGAGACGACAACGGCGACGACGCAGCAGTCGCAGCAGTTTCTCGAGGCTCCGAAACCGCGCCCACCTGAGCCGTTCGATCCGAGCGATCGAAACTCCGACGCCCGCAGATGGATCGCCGGGATGGAGATCTACTTCGCAGCCGTCGGATGGAGCTCGCCAGTCTGGGACGGTCAACGTGTACGACTCGCGGCGACACTGATGCGAGGGCCGGCACTCGAGTGGATTGGCGGCAACAGTACTTTCATCCACGGTGAAGCCACGTGGCAGCAGTTCCGCGCCGACCTGCTGAAACGCTTCGAACCGATAAATTCGAGTTTCCTTGCCCGGGAAAAAATTCATCGACACCGACAGTTCGGGAGTGTAGCACAGTACACGCAGCAGATGGAGGAATTTTATAACCGCATTCCCGACCTGACCGAAGGGGAAAAAGTACAATCGTACCTCGCCGGGCTGAAGACCGAAGTCAAACGACAAGTCGCAGCGTCAAACTACGCGAGCTACAGTGACGTCGTTTCGGCAGCGGAGCGCTTCGACATGGTCAACGCCGGAACACGACGGCCGCACGTCGGCAGTACGCGACAGGGCGACCGCTCGGCTCACCCCACGTTCGCCGACCCGATGGAAGTCGACAGATTCGAGGGGCGGCCACGTCCGAAAAACACCAACTACACGTGTGATTTTTGCGGAGTGCCGGGCCACCGAATCTTCGACTGCAACAAAATGAAGGCCGCACGCGCAGAGTATCGGGCACGCAACAGTGGCGGAAATCTTTCGGCCAATCAGAAGACAAAAAACGGGAGTCGCCAGTGATTGCGGATCTAGCTGGCGAAAATAAAAAGATCCGAAAGCGGCCGCGGGATTCCGGAAAAATCAACTTCGACGTAGCTGATTCGACGCGAGAAGGAGGAAATGATGGGGGAAAATCTCCACCCCACGACCAGTCTTCGCCAGGGAAAATCGCCGAGGAAAAATACGACTCCGCGAAAAAAGACTCTGCCGAGACAGGGAAACTCCTTGAAGACCCAAGAAATTATAAGAATTCGTTAAAGTTATCTTATAAAGATGCTTTAATGAAAACTTATGATGTTCGAGGGGCTAGAGCCTTGGAGAAAATTCGGGAGGGACTCCAAAAGAAGCAGACAGCTGTGGAGATTATACCGGTACCGGACAACTTGGGGACCAAATTAAGGAGTGTGGAAAGAAGCCGACCTTTCCACGGAGTCAACGTCCTCTCCCGACACCAGCCCACAACGACTACCCGCTCCCCAGGGAAGACGTCGGTGGAGCTGAAGCAGCTCAAGAGGAAGCTGGGGGTCTACAAGAAGCTGCACAAACCCCGAACTCCTTCTACGGATGCATCCAGTTCTTCGGCATCAGTGACGCGCACAGTCGTCAAAGAAACTCCGGGCCCTGGAGAAGAGCCGTTCTCCAAGCAGCCTTGGCCAGCTGCCAGCTCAGGAGTAGACAACAACACAAAGGTGTGTACGGAATATTGGGATGTACCCTATGACCCAATCAATGAAACTATCTTTGGGTACTCCGAGCAACGACTGCCCCTCGTGCTCGAGGTCATCTGCAAAGGACGACCGACGCCTCCAAGCACTCGTGGACAGCGGAGCGTCACACACCGTCTGCGACAAGGCAATGATCGACCGACTCCGGGAAGAGTACAAGCCTTCAGGATTCTCTGCAACGATGGTGGACGGCAGCAAGTTACCAGTACACGGCGAAGCAGTGCTACATCTACAAATCGGACCACTGCGCTGGAGACCTGCACTCCCCATCACCAACATCAAAGGGCTTGACTTGATCTTCGGGCGAGACTTCCTGAAAAAATTCAACCCCGAGATCAACTGGGTGAACCGCACCGCAAGCATCTACAACAATGGACGGAGAGTACAGCTACCCAACTGGGACGATACAGGAGATATTCCAGTGGAGACACTCGCACGATTCGAGAAGGATGTGAAGCGGACCGACACCGGGTTCCTGGCGATAGCAACAGAGGTGGAGAATGACGGAGAGAAAGCCTCGGAAACTCCAGAAAAGATCAAGGAATTACTGAAGGAGTTCCAAGACATTCTTCCTGACGATCTTCCGAACGAGCTACCGCCATACCGAACGCATCAACACGAGATCGTGGAGGAACCGGGTTCGAAGCCGACCTTCCGAGCACCATACCGGCTCAGCCCTACGGAGCTGACCGACATGAAGAAGCAGATCGAGTATCTCCTAGCCAAAGGACTCATCCGACCATCTACTTCGCCATACGGTGCCCCAGTACTCTTCACACCGAAACCGGACGGAAGCCTGCGCATGTGCATCGACTACCGAGCTCTTAACAAGCAGACCATCAAGAATAAATATCCGATACCGCGAATCGATGACCTGCTTGACCAGCTTCGGGGAGCTACGGTATTTTCCAAACTGGATCTGCGGTCCGGATACTGGCAGATACGGATGGCGGACAACTCTATCCACAAAACTGCTTTTCGAACTCGGTACGGATCGTACGAGTATTTGGTCATGCCGTTCGGACTCACCAACGCACCGGCAACGTTCCAAGCCGAAATGAACCACATTCTACGACCACTTCTGGACGAATGCGTGGTGGTGTACCTGGACGACATACTCATCTACTCGCGCGACATGAAGCAGCACGTCGAACACCTGCGACGCGTCTTCGAAATTCTTCGACGGGAACGATTCTACGTCAAACTGTCCAAGAGCGAATTCGCCCTGGAGAAAGTCCAATTTCTAGGACACTTGGTGAGCGCTCAAGGAGTTCACGTCGACCCCAAGAAAATCGAAGCCGTACGTACGTGGAAGACACCCGAGAACGTGAAGGAGTTGCAGCAGTTCCTAGGCTTCGCTAATTACTACAACAGGTTCGTGCCACAATATGCGAAACTCGCGGCACCACTCACGAATCTGCTGAAGAAGAACACGCCCTACAAATGGGAGACGAAGCACCAGAAAGCCGTGGAGCAGCTGAAACAAGCACTAACGTCCGCACCGGTGCTCATCTTGCCAGATCCCGAACGTGACTACGTCATTGAAGCAGACGCCAGTGATCAGGCCGTGGGTGCAGTCTTGATGCAAGACCAGGGGAATGGACTGCAACCAATTGCCTACCTCAGCAAGAAACTGCACGGGGCAGAACTCAACTACCCGATACACGACAAAGAGGCTCTTGCTATCATCATCGCCTTCAAAGCGTGGAGATGCTATCTCGAAGGACGAAGAATGACCGTCTACACCGACCACTGCAGCCTGAAATATTTGAAGACACAACCCAACCTTTCCAGGCGGCAGGTCCGGTGGATCGACTTCCTCGAGACACACTTCCACTACGACATCGTGTACAAGCCCGGCCACAAGAACAAAGCAGACGCTCTCAGCCGGCCTGCACACGTTGCCGCGATTCAGGTCGAAGGGATGAATCCACTACTCAAGGGACTCTTCACCCACGGGTACGCCATCGACCCCGACATTTCCTTGGCAGAAAAGCGACATCTGCTACAGTGGGACAGTGACATCGCGTACCGGAAAGGATCAACAAAAATCTGGGTACCCAATTACCCTCCTTTGCGCCAGTTACTACTCGAAGAATACCACGACGTCCTGTACGCCGGACACTTCGGTAGCAACAAGACGCTCACCGGTATCGCTAAACACTACTACTGGCCCCATATGGCAGACGACGTCCAGAAATTCGTCACCTCGTGTGATACATGTCAGCGGATGAAGAGCAGCAAGCAGAAAAAGGCGGGACTACTGCAGCCTCTTCCTGTCCCAGAACAACCATGGCAAGTGGTTAGCCTGGACTTCATTACCGGGTTACCACCTACCTCCAGCGGTCATGACGCCATCCTTGTCGTCATTGACAAGTTCTCCAAAATGGGACACTTCATCCCGACACACACGACGGCACGCACCGAGGAGACAGCACAGCTCTTCGTTCGTCACATCATCTCACAGCATGGCATCCCAACTACACTCATCTCCGACCGAGACCCCAAGTTCACTAGCAAGTTCTGGAAGGAACTTATGTCTCTGCTCGGCACCAAACTCGCCATGTCATCCGCATACCATCCGCAGACAGACGGACAGACCGAGCGCCTCAACCAAATTGTTGAGCAACTCCTCCGAGCAGCCTGCAAGGACGACATCTCCAAATGGGACTTGCACCTGCCCGTACTCGAGTTTGCTTACAACAATGCCACACATGCCGCTACTGGACAGACGCCGTTCTTCCTCTGCTACGGACGCCACCCACTCACACCACAAAAACCGACAGCATCACCTACAGTCCAACCTGCACACGACTTCATCACAACCATGCATCAGCTTTGGGATCGGACCCATAAGCGCCTCCTTGACATTCAACAGCAACAAAAGCGCCAGGCCGATCGCCATCGCAACGACCACACCATTTCCGTGGGAGACCAGGTTCTCCTTGACACCCGCAACCTGGACATCAGCCATCTCCCATCTAAACTTCGACCTCGCTTCTGCGGGCCTTTTCTCGTTGCCGCACAGGTCACTCCTGTTACCTTCCGCTTACGCCTACCAGCTACCTGGAAGATTCACAACGCCTTCCATGTCCAACTTCTGAAGCCTTATCGGGACCCGAACACAATTTTCGTCGGACGCCAACCGCCGCCGCCGCCGCCCGTCCTCGTCCAAAATGAACCCGAGTACGAGGTCGAGTCCGTGCTTGCACACCGCCGTCGTCGGAATGGCACCGTGGAGCTTCTTATTCGTTGGAAGGGCTATGATCCTTCTGAGGACAGCTGGGTCTCTGAGACCGACATGGGTAACGCCCATCGTCCTCTGCATGACTACCTTGTCAAGCAGGGTGTTACTTCTACCACCCAGCTTTGAGGGGGGGAAGTGTGAGAGTACGACTCCGTTACACCACTTGGCCTTTTCCATATTTCCTCTTCCTTTCATTCCTCTTTTTATCTCATCGCCTTTTGCCTCATATTCCCCATTTTCCATTATCCTTTGGTTTCTTCCTTTATTATTATTATATCACCGACCAGGCATGGAATGTTCTAGACACGCTATCTAGCGTAATCCTGCCGTAATCTCTTAAAGCCAATAGCCTCGCGTGGCTATACGCAGGGTGATTCTATCTTCTAGAAGGGTCTATTCCTTTAGATAGGATAAACCTGGTTACCTGATGTACTCTGGAAGTATAAAAGCGCCTTGTACCGATCGATAGTGCAACCTTTCCTCGACACATTCGATCCTGTGACAGCCTGGCTGCAATGCAACACTGGCCGCTGCGTCTCAGCAGTATACCGAGCTTCGGTTGCACGACGTTTTTTCATGCCAGGTTAGGAGTGCCCAGGGCAATGCACACCACAAGAGGGGACTGCTGGCCAAGTTTCACACCCTGGGCTGCACGTGCTTGGGAGACACGGCAGTTTGCGTATCTTGGTCGCTCGTTTCGTGCGAGGAGAGAGATCGATCGAAGAACGCTGCGAATTCGACGTCCCCGCGAATTTTGGCAGCACACCTTGCCATCAGAAGTTGTGTCAATGCAAGGGGCATCGGGCCAACCTCGTGGTACTCGTCTCTTCGGCCTCAAGTTGTCTAGTGTCCTGCATATGATGGTTTGATGGAAACGGATTGGGTTTGGAGGAGGAGGCTTCTCGACAATGCAACACAACGTATACCATGGCCTTAGCATCATTTTGAGACACGCTCAAAGTGTTCGGGGGGGGGGGGGGGGGGGGGGGGGGGATAATTGTTATGGTACCTATCTGGCAACGTAGGCGATGCCGCTCCCTGTGGAGAATCAAGTCTGCTCTCTGCAGTTGTGCTCTCAGCTTCCCCCCCATCGCACCTTTGCGATCCCGCAGATTCTGTTTTCGATTCAGGATCGTCACTATCATTGTAGTTCATCCGTCCCTCATCACCATCTCCTAACATCCCACTCACTTCTGTCTTCCCCTCTGCGGAGTCGGCTTCTCCCTGGGAGGGGAGGGTGGAGTGAGTTCCTATTTAGAGGACATTGGGGGTTGGCAGAGGGAGGGTCGTCAAGTACTATCACAACGTACCATGATACACTCCTACCAATTGCACTTCCCTGTACAGTTGCACCCTCACTCATATTCATCTGTGCCATGTGACGGATCGCTTGACACCGCATGAGCACAGGCAACCCCGCTGAGTTTTTCACCCATCTCGGAAAATGGTGCTCCACCCCTTGGGTATCTCCTCCCTCCCGCTGCACCACTTCTCCGATGGATCCTAGTTTGCTGTTCATGCACTTCCAAAATGATGACACTGCTGCTTCTTGATGCATCACGACAACATCCGCAGCCCGTCCTCCACCACAACCTGGCATGAAGAGAGGGAGTTGTAACCCTTATGGTTTACAAACGCGGTTGCATGGTACAAATGTACTAGTGCGCATACCTGAGTTTTTAGCCACCCAGACTAGCCAATCAGTCACACGTGGTGCCACTAGCACGAAGATGATCAACAAATCCATGAGAGTGGCAATGCCCTTTCCGCCCATTACGACAGACAGCGTGACACGCATTAGGCAGACGGGAGCTGTCATTCACCGCGGCAGGGAGTGCATCCGTTTCTTGTATGAGCCGCATAGTAGTCGCATGTGGATTTGTATGCTCTTCAAAGGAGGCATCCAGTTCAGCAGAATGATTGTGAGTGAGAAGAAGAGATAGACCATCTCAGAGAGAGAGTGAGAAAGAGATTTGACGGATGTCTCCGTGTATTGGTCGCTCGTTTCGTGCAAGGAGAGAGATCGATCGAAGAGCGCTGTGAATTCGACGTCCCCGCGAATTTTGATGACGGGTTTGGAGTGGCCTGGGCGAAGAACACTTCAAGAGGGTATTTGTCACAGGATCTAATAAGGTTTGCTCAATGTTGCACTATCAATCAGTACAAGGTGCTTTTATACTTCCAGAGTACATCAGATAACCAGGTTTATCCTATCCAAAGGGAATAGACCCTTCTAGAAATAGAATCACCCTGCGTATAGCCACGCGAGGCTATTGGCTATAAGGGATTACGGCAGGATTACGCTAGATATAGCGCGCCAGTACATCCCGAGCCTGGTCGGTGATATAATTATAATAACAGGATAAACCAAAGGATAATGGAAAAGGAGGAATAGGAATCCAAATGAGATGAGATAAAGACCAAATGAATCAGGATAAAAAGAGGAATGAAATCAAATGGAAATATGGAAAGAGGAAATTGGTGTAACGGGGTCGTACTCTCACAGTATTGCTGGCCAATTTCCAGACCCTGGGGAGCACGTGCGTGAGCGTGACGGATGTCTCCGTGTATTGGTCGGTCGTCTCGTGCAAGGAGAGACATCGATCGAAGAACGCTGCGAATTTTACGTCCCCGCGAATTTTGATGCCGGGTTTGGAGTGGCTTGGGTGAAGAACACTACAAGAGGGTATTGCTGGCCAATTTCCATACCCTGGGGAGCACATGCGTGAGCGTGACGGATGTCTCCGTGTCTTGGTCGCTCGTTTTGTGCAAGGAGAGACATCGATCGAAGAACGCTGCGAATTCGACGTCCCCGCGAATTTTGATGCCGGGTTTGAAGTGGCTTGGGCGAAGAACACTACAAGAGGGTATTGTTGGCCAATTTTCAGACCCTGGGGAGCACGTGCGTGAGCGTGGCGTATGTGTCCGTGTCTTGGTCGCTCGTTTCGTGCAAGGAGAGACATCGATCGAAGAACGCTGCGAATTCGACGTCCCCGTGAATTTCGATGCCGGGTTTGGAGTGGCCTGGGCGAAGCAGTCTACAAGAGTGTATTGCTGGTCAATTTTCAGACCATGGGGAGCACGTGCGTTAGCGTGACGGATGTCTCCGTGTATTGGTCGCTCGTTTCGTGCAAGGAGAGAGATCGATCAAAGAATGCTGCGAATTCGACCTCCTCGCAAATTTTGATGCCGGGTTTGGAGTGGCCTGGGCGAAGAACACTACAAGAGGGTATTGCTGGCCAATTTCCGGACCCTGGGGAGCACGTGCGTGAGCATGACGGATGTCTCCATGTCTTGGTCGCTCGTTGCGTGCAAGGAGAGACATCGATCGAAGAACGCTGCGAATTCGACGTCCCCGCGAATATTGATGCCGGGTTTCGAGTGGCCTGGGCGAAGAACACTACAAGAGGGTATTGCTGGCCGATTTTCAGACCCTGGGGAGCACATGCGTGAGCGTGACGGATGTCTCCGTGTCTTGGTCGCTCGGAGGGTGGGAAGATGAAGACGCGGAACGGCGGGCGACGGCAGGAGGCAGCCGGAGAGGCGGGCGACATTAGGCAGGAAAGGTCGGGGCGCGGACGCGGCAGGAAAGTGGGCTCGCCCATGCCGTCTGGTCGCCGTCTCCAAGAAGCGACTGGGAAGGCAAAGGGGTCCCGAGGTGAAGGCACGCCAGCGTCAGTTTGGGTGTCATCATCTGTCTGGCTCGTGACGTTCTTACGTACACTTCATTGCCTGTTCTGTCCCTTGATCTATGCCATACGGGCTTCTGCTATGCTAGAGCGTTGGCAGTGTTCATCGTGGTGCGTGGTCTCATCACACTGCATTACAAACTCGCGGCACCACAAAGTGGTCCCTGTACCCTATGCGTCCCCACCCCACTTCCCTCGTGCAGGTGCAGGTAACCCCAAGAGCGGGGGAGTGGTAGAGCCGGCCAACGGAGACAAGCGGGGCAAGGACGGCAAGGGGAAAGGTGCGCCCAAACCCGGGTTGGCAGAGTGCTTGAAGTGGCATGTTTGGGAGGGGTCCAGTAATGGCCGGCCTTGGTAGGAGATGTGAGGTGGCGGGTTTGGGAGGGGTCCAGTAATGGCCGGCCTTGGTAGGAGATGTGAGGTGGCGGGTTTGGGAGGGGTCCAGTTGTAGCCGGCCTTGGTAGGAGACGAGAGGAAGCGGGGGTGGGAGGATTCCAGTGGTAGCTCGGGTTGAGAGAGAGGTGCCCCCCTGTTTCCTTGACACGACTGTTGCAATGCTCTCATCCCGGCCCATTGTGCAGGGAAAACCAAGGAGAAGAGAGCACCGGAGATGCAGGGTACGTGTACCGTTGACCGTTGCTGCTGACAGACACCATGCAACAACAGCGCCCCTGCCCTTACCCTCGCCCTGACCTGTGCAATGCCTCTGCCCTGGTTTCCTTGTCACGTATGCTTGCGGTACCCACTGGCATGCCAGTGCATTATGTATCCTTATTATGCGCCAATTGACAGGCGGACATTCACGTCCACCCTTTTGCCACAACTGGACACCATGGTACACCCTACCCTTTGTGTACAGCCCCCCCGCAGTCTGGCCTCGGTCCGCCGGTGGTGCAGCAGTTTCAGCTAGGCACAAAACGCACGGCGCCGACAGGTGGAGCCACCGTAACCTCGACCCTGCGCTACAATGACGCTGCCCCCAACACTGCCGCAGTGGTCCTCCCATCTTCCAGCGCTGGGCCACGCGCGCTAGATGGCGTCCATGAGAAGGCATCGAAGAAGAAGTACG